TATATATATATATATATATATATATATATATATGCTATATATAATGCAAACATGTCATATTAATATTTGCATGCATCACTTTAATGCAAGGGTTACTAAAATAAAAAGCATTAAAAAGATATGTTGCAGATTCTTTCATCAAGCTCAATAAGCTTTTTATTTACACATTTATATGTATGATATACACATTTAGACAATGGAATGTTGTTAAAAAATGGTCATCACTTACAAAGGGTTTTAGTTTCTGTTAAAATTTTCTCTTTTCATGTAATTTATTACTGGCATCTGTGCTAAATTACCATACATTCACACATGAGTTGACAACATTTTGCCTCGGTCTAAGTTGCATCACCACAATAAGTTCTTGTGTGTGTTTTAGCATGTGATTTTCTGAGATTATTTTAAGGGACAGTGCACATATTCAACTAAGTGAGCTCAGATGAATTACATGGATAATTCATGTATAGCATCAATTAAAAACCGATGGTTATTTCTACTAAGTATTCTCACAGGACCAGAGACTTTCTTCATCAAGTAATGTGGAATTACACACATTTTAAGCCCTACATGAACAAAAAAAAACTTGTTTCAAGCCTAAAGGTGACAATGTACTACAAGCTACCAATTTTATTTTCAATATCTGGAAGATTTCCTCCCACTGATAAAACTATGGCAACAACACCTCTGACTGACTTACTGCTCAAGAGACCTGTGAAGCCAACCTGATGACTCCATTAAACATGCGTGTTAGACCTAAACTGTTGAAATTCTGCCTCAAACATCTTAACATCTTTGACAAATTAGCAGTCATTACCCATGCAGTTACATTTAAAACGTAATTAATTTGGACACAATTAAACATGAAAAAGTTACACCACCTAGATTTTTTAATTAAAAAACTTGAAGAGGTTCATTCAAGTCATTGTCTGTATGATATTTATTTACCTGAAGGCCCAATTTACCTAAGTTCACCCTATACATGAAAAAAAAAACTGTTTTTCAAATGCCCTGCACATGTCTTGACTTGTCTTTGTGGGTTTATAAAGCTTTATTTATACGTTTACTGTAGCATCCTGGCTATAAAGTACCTGTGTTTATTTGATCATTTTAGGTACAACGTTTTAACTTTAAAACTAGAAAATCCAGAGTACACAGTCTCTCAGTCACGCTGAGCAAGACACGTCCCTGTTATCATGAGATTTTTTGAGCTGGGAAGCTGTGATATATTACAGAAGTGCTTTATCCCTCAAACACTGCCTCATTTGCCCTCTCCATATGCTGAACAATCTGCCTGTGTGGAAATAAAACACAAAGATTGCTGCTTAAATGATAAATGCTTAAAAAAGGAATGAGCAAAGTGTAAGATATAAGGAGAAAGATTAAGTATTGAATGAGTCAAGTGGGTAACAGGTGACAGAGAACAGATCCCGGTGGAGTATTAACACTGAATAAGGTGGCTGAAGACCTACTGCTGCTTCTCTTAATGTGCTGCTTGATCTCCTACAGCTCCTGGCAGTTGCTGCATTCTGCGATAAAATATGACTCAGATGACCTCAGTCTTTATTCATGCTCTAAGATAATCTCTGCAGCTATTTAAAACAGTTTAAAATAAAACTGAAGGTACCTCATTCTGTCTGTGTAGTTTGTTTCTCCCATTACTTGTTAAAACAGACATATAAGTGCCATGACCCCCTAAATCAAGGTCAAATATTCACTTAAAATTTGACACAATATCAAACACATCTCATTATGTATTTAGTATGTAAGAGTGTGAAAAAAGCAATAAGACACTTGAGGCGGTGTTATATTGTGAATAAAGTCACTGCGTTCTGTGTTTAGATGCGATTACGTTCATTATAACACAACCTCCCACACATTATTACATAATAATATAATATTTATTAAAACAAATCAAAAGTCTGTTTAAACATTTTTGCTAGGATCACAAATGTTATTTTCCATCGGATACTAAGCACAATATAAGTACTAAGGCCAGGATTGTCAATGCCAAAAGCATTATTTTTATTATAATTTTTTGAATTCCTGAAGACATAATCAGTAATTATAGCCATTTAACAGTATTTTAAACATTTAATGTAAATTGCAAATTATCAGATCTCTGTTTTAGTTTATCATTTATTAACTACAAACCAAATAGTTGCTGATCCCCATTGACCTCCATAGTGTTTTTTTTTCCCTCCATACTATGAAAGTCAGTGTGGACCAGCAACTGTTTGATTACCAACATTCTTCAAAATATCTTCTTTTATGTTCAACAGAAGAAAGAAATTCATACAGGTTTGGAACAACTTGGGGGTGAGTAAATGATGACAAAATTTTCATTTTTGGATGAACTATCCCTTTAATTCTGATTAAAGCATTCTGAGAATGTGACTTTATGGTTACAAATAATAGAACATTCCTAGAATGTTAGGAATTGGTTTCTGACAAATAAACAAACAGAACAGAATAGAACACAAACCAGACACTAATGTTAAAGAAACAGTCAGTGTTTGCTAGGCTCCCTCTGATTTGTGTTTTTTTTTTTTTCCCCCTGCTGGAGTAGCTGTTTTACTTCAGATTTACTACAGAAATATTAGTGATTTATACACTGTGTGATCTTTTATTTCCTAATATTTTTATTTTTATTTTTGTACAATTGATTTTTGAGGCGGCACTGCCAGTCTGCCCCATATTCACACAGCAAGGAGCTTTAGTCTTTTGTTTCTTTAGCTTCCTTTAGGCATTCTGAATGAGCGGTAAGTCAACAGAGGTTTAAAGAAGCTCTTTTTCTTGTTTCAGCAAGAGCTGAGAGTGCAGCAGATGCCGAGGGCTGAAGTCTGAATGCATGGCTTTTGTGAGAGACTCTAATCTGCACACGTGACACAGCTCTTCTCATCTTTGCATTAACTGTCATGAGAGTGCGCCCGGAGCAATAATGCCAGTCTTCAGTGAAATGCAAATGCAAAAAGACGCAAGCTCTGGACATGATGGAGAGATGACTACTGCTTGGATGATGGCTGCTTCCTATTTATGGACGTCCTATTTAAAAGCTTCCAGTGCATTTGATGACAGTGATGGTTGTATGTATGTTTATCTGCACATCCAGCATTATCTTGTGAGATTCTGCATGTTCTTGTCTCATATAAAGGTTTTGTCCGCAGGCCTTTACTAATATAAAAGCACACAACAGCAGCTAATGTGGCAGCATAATTGGCCTCTAGCCTCATCACAATTTCATGCACTAGATAGTAGATACAACATTTTCTTATCGCATGCATCTTATTCAGCAACCTCAAACACAATAACTACACTATTAAAATATTATTGTAAGTCATTTTAATGGAAAATATTGCAAAGATGCTACAGTAAAAAGGTGCTGACAGGTTAATAAGTTATATTATATTTAAAATATACTTTATAATATATCATACTATCAAGACGAAATGAATTAAAATGGTGTAAAAAAAATTCACAAGTAAAAAGCATGTTTTACTTATGAAAGCATGTTAACACCTCTGACTAGAAAATAAAAAAAGATAATTATGAGAAACTTTAAAATAACCTTCACAATACAATACAATATTTATTTATAAAGCACATTTAAAAACAACATGGTTGACCAAAGTGCTGTAAAAAAAAAACTTTAAAAAAAAAACTACAAGAATTTACAAAATAAAACTACAAGAAATACGGGAAAAAGGGTTTCTTGTAATTTTATTTCCAATAGTAAAACAATGATCAAACCAGTGGTCAAGGAATATTAAAAGCCAGAGAAAATAAGCATGTCTTTAAAGCAAACTTGAAAACAAAATAGATAGAAGAAAAACAGAGTCTTTGATATTTTTTTTGTGAAATTGTAATTTCATGATATTTATTTATTTATATGCTGAAGTGGAATCGGGCTTTCATAATTTATTATGATTTACAGTAAACATCATAAACTATTTCTGAGACAAAATAATAAAAAACAGAAGTTTGTGTGCTTGCATATAAGTGTATCTTAAATTACTTTTTTCAGAACAAACATATTAACATAATTATTCATTTTGACAGGATATGCTTTTAAAAATGATTTTAGATTATATTTGATTAATTATTTGAAAAGATATGCTTTCTACCACATCTACTTAAATTTGTTCTGTTATTTGCACAAAATTTCATATTTTCATATTGCATATATTGTTAAACGTATTGTGTGTGTTTGTATATGCTGAGTAACTGTCTGTGTGTGTTTGTGTCTGCACAGGGACAAATGCACATTCATACAGTATGCAGTGTCTTGGTGCTTACACGGAGCTCTTGGGAGATTTTTGTTGCGAGGAAAGAGGGAAATGGTAACCATAACAACAGGTAACCACTAACAACCAGCGTTCATCATATTGAGCACCCTGGTGAGCACCTCTAATTGCAGTGGAAGAATTCAGTTGTTCAGATCAGCAGGCTGGAGATGGTGATATCCACAATAACAAGAACACAGCTGCCTTCCTATTCATGAGACATGAGCCCAAACTCGTCCTACAATTTTACTTGCCATTAGTTTGTTAAAAAATAACAACTTGACTCTGATGCCCAACTTTATCCACATACATTCATTATACTTGTGTATATATACTTGTGTGATTGCTTGTATCGTAAGAAATTGTAAGCTACATAAATGTGAACTACATATGCTGAGTAACTGTCTGTGTGTGTTTGTGTCTGCACAGGGACAAATGCCACATTCATACAGTATGCAGTGTCTTGGTGCTTACACGGAGCTCTTGGGAGATTTTTGTTGCGAGGAAAGAGGGAAATGGTAACCATAACAACAGGTAACCACTAACAACCAGCGTTCATCATATTGAGCACCCTGGTGAGCACCTCTAATTGCAGTGGAAGAATTCAGTTGTTCAGATCAGCAGGCTGGAGATGGTGATATCCACAATAACAAGAACACAGCTGCCTTCCTATTCATGAGACATGAGCCCAAACTCGTCCTACAATTTTACTTGCCATTAGTTTGTTAAAAAATAACAACTTGACTCTGATGCCCAACTTTATCCACATACATTCATTATACTTGTGTATATATACTTGTGTGATTGCTTGTATCGTAAGAAATTGTAAGCTACATAAATGTGAACTATATTATCACCCAGGCATGAAGATATTAAGAAATTATAAACATTAACATCATGATTTTCTATAAAGCTGATTTGAAACAATGTGTACTTTGAAAAGTGCTTTACAAATAAATGTGACTTGACTACAGTATTTTTAACACAAATTCACCATTTATTTTGATTTAATATTTATTTGTACAATATTATGACATTACATCATCCCTCAAATACTCCAGTCTTTAGACCATAACGCAATACTTCATATAGAATAAATTGTATATTAAATCTTGTTATTTATATGATGCAGAGCCGATCCTCCCTATACGCAAAATACGCAAGTTGCGTAGGGCCCCCGAAACACCAGGGGGCCCCCTTGCTCTCAAAGATGATTTAATTTTAGTTTAGTTTTTGAATTTGGCCAGCGGTCATGAAAACATGAATGATCATTTCTTTTAATGCGGTGCGCTGTCCCCCTTTCTACGTAAAAATCAGTTAAATCATGTAATGTGAATGTCGTACAGTCTTGCTCGAGACTAAAAAAACGAGCTGAAAGCGTACCGAGCCAGGAATAGACACTGTTTCTCAAGCACTTTCCGAGAGCGCGATTCGAGACGGAGTGAAACACGGACAAATGCGTTTCATTCATTCGTTCATAACCACTCATACCCCACTTCAATCAGTCTCATCTCCCATTCCCTTTAAGAGCCAGTTGCGCTCGTGCCATGGCGTATTTGCTATTTACACGGCCACGGTGTCTCCAGAGATGAAACGGAGCTGTTCCTGCGCGAGCAAATAGGCAGCCTAATTCTGATACATGCAATGACTATCCATTATGACATGTAGGCATTTTTATATTTATGTAGCCTACACAATAATAATCTTTTACATTGCAATCCTTTAATTTTTAATATTTGGCATGTTTGTGTGCTGCTGTACGTCCCTGTGTGTGTAATAAGCAGAGTGTATGTGCGCTGTGGACCCGCCTATACTAACGCGCTCTTTAAAGGGGTCAAATGATGCTGCTAAAAAGAACATTATTTTGTGTATTTGGTGTAATGAAATGTGTTTATGCGGTTTAAAGTTA